CTGTCACCTAGGCTAGAGTGCAGTGGCACGATCTCCGCTCACTGCAAGCTCCGCCTCCCGGATTCACACCATTCTCCTGCCTCAGCCTCCCAAGTAGCTGGGACTACAGGCGCCCGCTACCATGCTCGTCTAATTTTTTGTATTTTTAGTAGAGACGGGGTTAGCCAGGATGGTCTCGATCTCCTGACCTTATGATCCGCTCGCCTCAGCCTCCCAAAGTGCTGGGATTACAGGTGTGAGCCACTGCACCTGGCCGCCCAGGCTTTTTTATCTGGGTTTTAATTCCAAAGGATTTCAGAGTTGGTGTCTTTTAAAATTTGGTTGGTATTATGAAGAATATGCCTGCCTGGACAGAAAAAGGATGTCTTGCAGAGGAAATAAAAAGTTGAAGTGAAATCCATGACTATTTTTGTGCATCATTAAAGGCCTGATAATATGGGAGTGGTATTCTGTGAAAATATTTGACAAAAAACCCACTGTATGTTTATGTTAAATAGAATATATTTGATTATTCACAGGAAGAAATTAGAAGTAATCGCATTTTTGGAATGTAAGACTTTACCATTTATACCGATTTTAATATATCATCTGCATGGATTGATTTGGCTAGCATATGTAGTAGCGACTCTTCCTGGAGTGGTTGATAAAAATGATTACTGTTTAATCTTCAGGCTTGTTTAATCTAAATCATTTCTATTTTCTTTAAATACAGCTGGCATCTAAAAATGAAAGGAAAAATGTTTTATAAGTTTTGGGGAAAGACTAACATTCAGTGACAGAACCCCTAAACAGCCAATTTTTGATTACATATGGAAAAGGGGTGCAAAGTAAGCCTATAGATAAGTGAATTCCATAGATAATATGAACACTATATTTTGTTTGTTTTGAGACAGAGTCTCGCTCGGTTACCCAGGCTGGAGTGCAGCGGTACAATCTCGGCTCACTCTGCCTCCCAAGTTCAAGAGATTCTCCTGCCTCTGCCTCCCAAGTAGCTGGGATTAGAGGTGCTCAACACCATGCCTGGCTAATTTTTGTATTTTTAGTAGAGACAGGGTTTCACCATGATGGCCAGGCTAGTCTCGAACTCCTGATCTCAAGTGATCTATCCACCTCAGCCTCCCAAAGTGCTGGGATTATATTTTTGATAGAGGGATTATATTTTTGATAGGTTTTGCCATGTTGTCCAGGCTGGCCTCGAACTCCTGACCTCAAGTGATCCACCCACCTCAGCTTCCCAAAGTGTTGGGATTACAGGTGCAAGCCACCACACCTGGTCTCCAACACTATATTTTAACTTATATTTTTGTTTGTTTCTTTCAACCTTTTTCCCACTAAGGAACACCATGAAGAACAAGGTGGACTGAGTTTCATCTTCCTTGGTTTGGTTGGCAGTTGACAGAATGTAGAAAAAATAATTTGAATAATCCAAAAGTGACTTACCAGCATGGCATAGTTAAGAATTGATAGTATTGGCTGGGTGTGGTGGCTTACACCTGTAATCCCAGCACTTTGGGAGGCTGAGGCAGGTGGATCACCTGAGGTCAGGAGTTCGAGACCAGCCTGACCAACATGGAGAAATCCTGTCTCTACCAAAAATACAAAATTAGCCAGGCGTGGTGGTGCATGTCTGTAATCCCAGCTACTTGGGAGGCTGAGGCAGAAGAATCACTTGAACCCGGGAAGTGGAGGTTGCAGTGAGCCAAGATCGCACCATTGCACTCCAGCCTGGGCAACAAGAGTGAAACTCCGTCTCAAAAAAAAAAAAAAAAAAAAAAAAATTGATAGTATTAAGGCAGGCACCCTCTTAATTCAACTGTGAGAAAAGCTGGGTCTCAATGGCAGCATATGGAGGCATGCCCTATTAAGTGCCTCCTCATCCCCAAAGCTGTGTTACAAATAGGCCACGGCATTTATGAACATATCCACGTCCTGAAACAGGACAGAGGTGGCAGCAGCTGTGTCTGCTGTTTGGGATCACGCCAGCAAGTGTAGCATTGGTCCTGGGTCCCAAGTCTAACATTCACTCCTATTCAGTACCTTTTATGAGATCAGTAGTTGAGGATATCAAAATGAATATGAGACAATTCCTGTACTCAAAAGTTCTAGTCAAGTCAAAGGACATGCAAGCAGAGAACTGTAATGCTGTGTCATAGGTGCTATTATGTCAAATGGTACAGTGTGGGCACATGGGAGAAAGTAAGTCAGTTCCTTTTGGGAGACAGAGCAGGAAAGGCTTCAGAGAGGAGGCAGAGCTTGAGATGACAGGCGTTTGTGAGGTGGGAACTGAGTAAGTGAGAAAAAAGGAGCTGGAGAAGAACATACCAAGTAGGAGAAGCTGCATGAGCAATAAAAGGAAAGCACAGAAATAACACACCATACATAAAGGTAGGGAGTAGACCATGGTTATTAGAGGCTGAGAAAGGTAGTGAGGGGAGGATAGGGAGAAGTTAGTGACTGGATACAAAATTACAGCTAGATAGGAGGAATAAGTCCCAGTGTTCTATAGCACTGCAGGGTAACGAGAGTTAACAGCAACTTTTTAGATATTTTCAAATAGCTAGAAGAGAGGATTTTGAATCCTCCCAAAACAAAGAACTGATGAATGTCTGGAGTGATAGATTTGCTAATGACACTGATTTGATCATCACACGTTGTGTACATGCATGGAAATACTACTCTGTATCGTGTGTGTGTGTGTGTGTGTGTGTGTGTATATATATATATATTTTTAGAAGTTGTCTCTCTCTGTCACCTAGGCTGGAGTGTGGCGGTAAGATCTTGGCTCACTGCAACTTCTGCCTCTTGGATTCAAGCTATTCTCCTGCCTCAGCTGCCCAAGTAAGTGGGATTACAGGCACACGCCACCACACCTGGCTAATTTTCTGTATTTTTAATAGAGACAAGGTTTCACCATGTTGGTCAGGCTGGTCTTGAACTCCTGAACTCAAGTGATCCACCTGCCTCGGCCTCCCAAAGTGCTGGGATTACAGGTGTGAGCCACCATGCCCAGCCTGTATCCTATAAATATGTACAATTAATATGCTAACTAAAGAGAAAAGAAAAGAAAATCACATGTTTAGAAAGCTGCAATCGGTTAGACATGGCTGATATGCATGATGAGAAGGAGAAAGCAGTGAATGGTAAGACTGGATAGGAGGGCCAGAGCCAGATCATAGGGAACTTTATACACCAGGCTAAGGAGCTCAGATTTGATCCAGAATGTGATTGGGAACCACTGAAGGGCTTTATGCAAGGGAGGGGCATGAAAATATTTTGCTTTTGAAAGATCAAAATATGTCTACTCTATGGAGGATGGCATGAAGGGGACCAAAACTGAAGGCAGAAACAATAATTAGGAGGTGAGTGCAACAGGTCAGATGAGAAATGACAGGGGCTTGAAACGAAGCAGTAGCAGTGGGGATGGAGTAAAAGGGCCCTACAAGGTTAGAGGGAGGGGCTTCCAATTACAGCACCAGCTATGACAGGAGATGGAAGAACCCTCGTCTGAGGACGGAAGGGAAGGCTAGGTTGCACAGTATGGAAATGTGACTTCAGGAACTCCTATTAAATCTTGTGTTATTGTCAAATTACATGGAAATGTAAGATTATTTATCATGATCATCAAGGTGACCTACCATAGTCATGGACTTTGGATGATTTTCTAAACTTTTCGATCTGTAAGAAATAGAAAGAAAATAATGTAAAAAGGAGGAAGGGGGGACTGAAATAGTGAACATGGTGAGCAAGTATGCCATTATTTAGCATATTTTCCCCCCACTTTCAAGGAGAAATCGTCAATTAAGATAGAACTATGAGACCCTCAGAGATTAAGATCAAGCTTTTTGGTATATAACATGTGGATCATTCTCACTTCATTTAAATAAAAACAATGAGGCAGGGTATGGTGGCTCACACCTGTAATCCCAGCACTTTGGGAGGCCAAGGTGGGTGGATCACTTGAGGTCAGGAGTTCAAGACCAGCTCTGCCAACATGGTGAAACCCTGTCTCTACCAAAAATACAAAGATTACCTGGGCATGGTGGCATGTGCCTGTAACCACAGCTACTCAGGAGGCTAAGGCAGCAGAATTACTTGAACCTGGGAGGCGGAGGCTGCAGTTAGCTAAGATCGTGCCATTGCACTGCAGCCTGGGTGACAGAGTGAGACTTCATCTCAAATAAAAAAATAAATAAAATAAAAAAAAATGAGGCACACTCTCACTACATTTAACATTCCCATAGATTTACTTAAGATACGATTCTGACTGACTTGAAAACTTAATGAATTTACTTGAAAGTCATGAAGAACTAGAGGCAAAAATAAAACATCTGAGGCTATTACGATACTTGCTTTTATATCCTTATGTCCCACTATTTCCACTAGTGAAGAGAACTGGCAAAAGCAATGCCATAATTTTGAGAGGCTGCAGAGGTAAGCTGAAGCTTGTTTGCATGCCGAATATACCGAGATCAATTGGGCCAATCATCACAGGCTTCACAGAGGGTGGTGGCTGAAAGCTGATGTAGGTCTGGAGTTTTCTAACAAATGTCCTTCTTGGCTGGAAAGGGTTTTGAGAGCTCTTCTGCCCATCTCACCCCCGAGTAGCTGGGATTACAGGTGCCCACCACCATGCCTGGCTAATTTTTGTATTTTTAGTAGAGATGGGGTTTGGTCTTGAACTCTTGACCTCAAGTGATTCACCGGCCTCAGCCTCCCAAAGTGCTAGGATTACAGGCATGAGCCACCGTGCTCTGCCCATACTGCTGTGTTCTTAATCAACCCCACAGGGTTTGTGCATACACCTTGTAGCATCAGATATTGAGCCTCTTCTAAAATAGCAGACTGTAAGGCTTAATGTTAGTGTAAGAAAATCTGGTGATAAAATACAGAGCAGGGCAAGTAGTTTCGTTGTAGACAAAAATCTTAGCCCATAATCTTTATAGTTTCTTCCTTAGAGTGACTGTACATTCCATGAGAGCAGGGAATCTGGCTTTCCATTTCAGGTTCTACAAAAAACATTAATCAAGCAACTACTTTATGCTAGGCAAAGCATGAAGCACTTTCATATAATATATCTTGTTTACCTTAAATTGAGATAAAAAATAGGTTTTTTAAAAATATCTATCTATCTATCTATCTATCTATCTATCTATCTATCTATCTATCTATCATCTATCTATCTATCATCTAATTTTTTTGAGACTGAGTCCCACTGTGTTGCCCAGGCTGGAGTGCAGTGGCACAATCTTGGCTCACTGCAACCTCCACCTCCCAGGTTCAAGCGATTCTCCTGCCTCAGCCCCCTAGTAGCTGGGATTACAGGCACGTGCCACCATGCCCAGCTAATTTTTGTATTTTTAGTAGAGATGGGGTTTCACCATGTTGGCCATGCTGGTCTCAAATTCTTGACCTCAGGTGATCCACCCCCCTTGGCCTCCCAAAGTGCTGGGATTACAGGTGTGAGCCACCACACCCAGCTGTATTATCTATATTTTAAAGATATTAATTTAAAAAAGAGAGGGAAACTTACCTTGGTTTTCTGGCTTTTTCTCTGGGCTTTCTAATTAAATCCTCTAAATGTTTATTTCTCTTTTCCAAACTGAAAGAAGAAACAATTGAATTTTATGACTAAAACTGACTTTTCTAGACCATTATTTTGTTAGATTCACTAGAGGATTTTAGTAGATAAAAATAGGTAATCTAAGGCCAGGCGTGGTGGCTCAAGCCTGTAATCCCAGCACTTTGGGAGGGCGAGACGGGCGGATCACGAGGTCAGGAGATAGAGACCATCCTGGCTAACACGGTGAAACCCCGTGTCTACTAAAAAATACAAAAAACTAGCCGGGCGAGGTGGCGGGCGTCTGTAGTCCCAGCTACTCGGGAGGCTGAGACAGGAGAATGGCGTAAACCCGGGAGGCGGAGCTTGCAGTGAGCTGAGATCCGGCCACTGCACTCCAGCCAGGGTGACAGAGTGAGACTCCGTCTCAAAAAAAAAAAAAAAAAAAGGTAATCTAATTATCTATACACTATCCAACCACCTAACCATATAGAAACTTGGGATTCTTTCCTAGCAACTCAACATTATTCTATCAGTTTTTCCCTTTATAGGTTCCAGTGGTGAAGAAGGAAAGTAGACAGTAGCAAATATATAAAGTAGCATTCAGATATTCTCCCATTTGCTTACACAGTGGTTCACTCATACTGATCCTTCTATCTGAGTAAATCCAATATGATCCTGAGGGTAACATGTTAAAAACAAAACTCCTGGCTAGGCGTGGTGGTTCACACCTGTAACCCCAGCACTTTGGGAGGTTAAGGCAGGTGAATCTCTTGAGCCCAGGAGTTCATGACCAGCCTGGGCAACGTGGTGAAATTCTGACTCTACAAAAACACAAAAACTAGCTAGGCATGGTGGCACATGCCTGTGATCCCAGCTACATGGGAGACTGAGCTGGGAGGATTTCTTGAGCCCAGGAGGTGGAGGTTGCAGTGAGTCAAAATCATGCCACTGCACTTCAGCCCGCCACAGAGCTAGACTCTGTCTCAAAAAAGAAAAAAGAAAAAAGAAAGAAAGAAAGAAAAGAAAAGAAAAGAAAAGAAAAGAAAAGAAAAGAAAAGAAAAGACAAAAAACCCTGAGCTAGAAACAGCTTAACATGCAAAAATATGTGACAGCATTACAGGACCATCACAAACCTATTTTTCCATCCAGGGAGGTTGTATGAGCTTCCCGTGGCTGCTGCAACAAATCAACACAAATTCTGTGGCTTAAAACACATACATTTATTTTCTTCTGGAGGTCAGAAGTCCAAAATAAGCTTCACTGGCCTGAAATCAAGGCATTGGCAGGGATGTGCAGCCTCTAGAGGTTCGAGAGGAGAATCCTTTGCCTGGCCTCATCCAGCATCTGGAGGCTGTTCTTACTCCTGAGGGGGCTTGGCCCCACATCACACCACCTTTTCTCCCCATTTCCACTGTCAGGTTGACTCTTCTTCTTCTGTCACCAAATCTCTCTCTGCCTCCCCTGTCTTATAAGTACCCTTGTGATTGCATTTAGGGCCCACTCAGATAATCCAAAATAATCTCCGCAACTCAAGATGTAATCACATCTGCAAGGCTCTTTTGCTACATAAGGTAACAGTCACAGGTTCTCATGATTAGAACTTGCATGTCTTTGGGCCATTCCTCAGCCTACTGTAGAGGATAAATAGGCCCTGAGAGGAGACGAAATTCTACGGCAGAGGTCTAAACTCAAATGCCTATAGAAGGGTCAGGCAGGTATGTGAAATGAGCAAAGCCAGCTAAATGGTGATTCAGACAAACCAAAGCGCATACACCCCTAGGCCCTGCCTAAAAGAAGTTGCTACTTAGCTCTTGCCAAATGTTGCCACGTGAGAATGCTGCAGCCATGATTAGATCTTCTTGTCTTACTTATTTTTAAATTTTTATTATTGAGAGACAGAGTCTCACCCTGTCACTCAGTCTGGAATGTAGTGGTGCAATCACAGCTCACTGCAGCCTCAAACTCGCGGGCTGAAGCAATCCTCTCATCTCAGCCTCCGGAGTTAGCTAGGACTGCAGGTGCATGCCACCACACCTGACTAATTGTTTTAATATTTTGTAGAGACAAGAGTCTCGCTATGTTGCCTAGGCTGGTCTTGAACTCCTGGCCTCAAAATATCTTCCCGCCTCAGCCTCCCAAAGTGCTGGGATTGTAGGCATGAGCCACCATGCTCAGCCTACTCTTGTTTTTAAAGAGGAGATAGAAATCTAGATTTTTACAGAATATCTTCCCTTTTCAATTTTGGCAATTAATTTAAAAAATACTTTAAACATTATATGGACAAAACACAAATGCCCCAGAATATAACTTGTAAGTTGTCATTTTGAAACCTATACTCTTCCTTTCAGAGATATCAGGCTTTTGTTTTAAAGGGATAAAGAGAAGTTGTCAAACCCAGGAATAGAAGATAATGTGAAACAACTCTGTGTAAACCAAAAGCCTGAGTCTATCATGCCTAATTATCAGAGAAATAGCATGGAATAAATCTTCTGTATTTCTAGAATTGAAAAGAATGAGTCCAACTCCTGAAGGAGGGAGATACCTAAGGAAAGAAAGTGAAAAGTATTTCCAAGTGTGCAACAAGGCAACAGTGGAATATATTGACACTGTGCTCCTGTGTGTAGAGCTGCGGGCAAATAGCTATAATCTAAGCCTACCTAAATGGAGTCCTTGGTTTATTTTGGAGGAAGTCATGTCCTCCATAGAGGCCATGAGAGAACTCTGCTGAGAGCTAGGCAAGCAAAGCAGCACCACTGAATGGAGTATAATGAGTGCTTTGATTTGCATTTAATGACATGACTGTATTTCTTTCTTGTTTTTCTTTTAAGACAGAGTCTCGATCTGTCACCAAGACTGGAGTGCAGTGGCGCAATCTCAGCTCACTGCAACCTCTGCCTCCCTGGTTCAAGTGATTCTCATGCCTCAGCTTCCCAAGTAGCTGGGATTACAGGTGTGCGCCACCATGATTGACTAATTTTTGTATTTTTAGTAGACATGCGGTTTTGCTGTATTAGCCAGTCTGGTCTTGAACTCCTGGATTCAAGTGATCCTCTCACCTTGGCCTCCCAAAGTGCTGGGATTACAGGCATGAGCCACTGTGCCCAGCTGACATGAATATATTTCATGTGCTTTTTTGCCATACATGTATTTTCTTGGTGGAATCTCTACTAAAATCTTTGCCCATTTTTATTGGGTTATTTGTTTTCTTATGACTGAGTTTTGAGAGTTCATTACATCTGGATAGAAGTTCTTTAGCAGATACATGATTTGCAGATATGTTCTTCCAGACTATGGCTTGCCTTTGATCTGTTAACAGTGTCTTTAGAAGAGTAGTTTTAGGCTGGGTGAGGTGGCTCACACCTGTACTCCCAGCACTTTGGGAGGTTGAGGTGGGCGGATCACGAGGTCAGGAGTTCAAGACCAGCCTGGCCAACATGGTGAAACCCCATCTCTACTAAAAATACAACAACAAAAAAATTAGCCTGGTGTTGTGGCGTGCGCCTGTAGTCCCAGCTACTTGAGAGACTGAGGCAGCAGAATCACTTAAACCCGGGAGGTGAAGGTTGCAGTGAGCTGAGATTGTGTCACTGCCCTCCAGCATGGTGACAGAGTGAGACTCCGTCTCAAAACAACAACAACAAAACAAACAAACAACAAAAAAAAGAAGAGCATTTTTAAATTTTGATGAAGTCAAATTTATCAAAATTTTCTCTAATGAATCATGCTTTTAGTGACATGTCTAAGAAATTGTTGCCTAACCCAAAGTCATAGCAATTTTCTGTTTCCTTCTAGATGTTTTAAGGTTTTAGCCTTTATCTTTGGGTATACTATCCATTTTGAGTTTACTTTGTATGTAGTGGAGTGTATAAATCAAAGTTAATTTTTTTGAAAATGGGCAATGATTCCAGCACCATTTGTTGAGAAGGTTATCCTTTTTCCACTTTGTTGCCTTTGTATCTTTGTCAAAAATCACTTGTCCATATATGTACGGGTCCATGTCTGCATTCCCTGGTCCGTTCCATTGATTTTTATATTTTTACACCAATGCTACACTGTTTTGATTATTGTAGCTCTATAAAAAGTCTTAGAATCAGAGTTTCCCTCCCATTTTATCCTTCTTTATCAGAGTTCTTTTGGCTATTCTATGCCTTTTGAATTTCCATATGAATTTAGAATCAGCTTGTTAAGTTTATTTAAAATTGGAATTGCACTGAATCAATAAATGAACTTGGGGAAAATCTTAACAAAATGGACCCATGAAAGAGCTATACCTCTCCATTTATTTAACTCTACTTTCTCTCAATGATGTGTTGTAATTTTTAGTGTATGAGTCTTTTACATACTTTTGCCAAATTTATCCTTATGTAGTTTATATTTTTGGAGCTATCAGAAATGCTTTTTAATTTCTGATTGTCTGTTGTTAGTATATAAAAAGACAACTGACTTTTACATATTGATATTGGATCCTGCAACCTTGCTAATCTTAATAGTCCTGGTAACTTTTTTGTAGATTCCATCAGATTCTCTACATAGATGATCATGTGTTTGTGAATACATGCAGTTTTGCTTCATGTCCAGTCTGGATGAATTTTATTTTTCTTGCCTGATTGTACTGGACAGAACTTCCAGTACAATGTGAATGTACTGGAATGTCTTGTTCCTGATGATAAGAAAGCATTTAGTCTTTCATCATTAAGTATAACGTTAGTAAGCTTTTGTAGGTGCTCTTTGTCCTAATTGAGAAAGTTCCTTTCTTTTCCTAGGTTGTTTAGGTTTTCTCATGAAGAATGATGTTGGATTTTGTCAAACGGTTTTTCCGTCTGTCGAAATTATCATATGCTTTTTCTTTTTTAATTTTTTAAATATGCTAACTAACAATGATGTATACAATTGTTATTATATATAAAGCTGGCCCTTTTTTGCTATATAAGGTAACATTCACAGATTCTAGGGATTAGAACATGGATTCGCCATTTACTTTTACCTGACATTTTTAGCAGCACATACTGTACCCAATTTGTAGTCTTTTATTCCTCACCCCCTTCCACCCTTTCCCCCAAGTCCCCAAAGTCCACTGTATCATTCTTTTTTTTTTCTTTGTCTTTGTACGATATTTTATTAAAGGTCTTTACAGAGCAACATCCAGACTCCAGAATACAGCTGCCAATGAGACCCTGTTACGCTGTGGGGACTGGTTGGGGCACGGCAGGTGGCTCTGGCTCCCCACCCTTCTGTTCTGAGATGGGGGTGGTGGGCAGTATTTCATCTTTGGATTCCATGATGCTCACGTGGTCAGGCAGGGGCTTCTTAGGGCCAGTTTTACCAGTTGGGTCCCAGGGCAGCACGATCTTCACCTTGATGCCCAGCACACCCTGTCTGAGCAACACGTGGTGCACAGCAGTGTCAATGTAGTAGTTAACAGGGTCTCTGCTGTGGATCATCAGGCCATCCACAAACTTCATGGATTTAGCCCTCTGTCCTCAGAGTTTCCCAGACACCACGACCTCGCAGCCTTTAGCCCCACTCTCCATGATGAACCACAACACACCATAGCAGGCCCTCTGCACGGCAAGCCCTCCTAGCGTTTGCAATGCAGACACTCTGCCTGGGCAATGGCACACAGGCCCCTAGCGGCCACCTTTTCAGCATAAAGCTCTACACTGCCCTCTGGAAAGCCAAACCTCTTCTGAACTACAGCAGTCAGTTCCCGAGTCCCCCAGCCCTTCTCACCAAGAACATTCTGTGTTCTGGTGACCAAGGTAATGATTTCTGTCTTGGCTGGTGTAACTCGCACCTCAACTCCAGAGTAGCCATCTTCAGCCAGTTCCTGAGTAAGAAACTCATTCAGTTCAGCTTAGAAGATGCCATCAGTGACAAACTTCTTCTTGGAAATTTGCATGGCCATCTCGCCGCCATGCTCCGCCGAAAGGAAAGGCACTGTATCATTCTTATGCCTTTGTGTCCTCATAGCTTAGCTCCCACTTATGAGTGAGAACATATGATGTTTGGTTTTCCATTCCTGGGCTACGTCACTTAGAATAATGGTCTCCAATTCCATCTAGGTTGCTGCAAATGCCATTATTTCATTCCTTTTTATGGCTGAATAGTATTCCCTGGTATATATATATACCACAATTTCTTTATCCACTCATTGATTGATGGGCATCTGGGCTG